TATACGGGTCAAGGAACAAACAAATGATTAGTACGGAATTTGAACACTTTGCCCATGACATTTTTGCAAGAATTATTGATATTGTAACGTATTAAATACTCGAGCGGTAGTAAGGCCTTCCTGAGGGAACGTCTGTTTTCTCTTACTTATTCAACACGTTGATAAAACAGACGAAGAACTATTCTTCTTGATTTCGAAATGATTGTTCATGCCTTACTCTCTTTAATTCTCACTTGTATTTAATCACAAATTATTGACTTACTGACCTAATCCTGACAGCTGAACGTTAGTTCTCAAGAACGTGAACTGCATTTTCGATCTGCGCGCTAAGCAAGCCATATGGTGGCCCTGAAGGGACATCGCATATCGCAAACGTGTGCGCATACGTATGCGATGTCGCGAAATTTATCGCGAATGTGTGCGCACACGTATGCGATGTCGCAAAATTTATCGCAAATATGTGCGCACACGTATGCGATGTCGCGAAATTTATCGCGAATATATGCGCACACGTATGCGATGTCGTGAAATTAATCGCGAATATGTGCGCACACGTATGCGATGTCGTAAACAATTCGCGAATATGTGCGCACACGTATGCGAATTGTTTGCAATGTCGTGAATTTTATTGCATACCTTGTCGCATACCTTTCAGTAAAATTCCTAATGAACTGGGGAGTTGTAGCAGCTAGTCTGGAATCTAGACGTACTGTTAGATATAATAGGGTCTGTGTATATGGAGATCAATGGGTCTGACTAATAAACTTCGCGCGCACGCTGTTCCTCGTGCAATCGTTACTACTAGTACTGTCGAGCGCAAACTTGCTACTTGCGCAACTTTGAAATTTGAGCGCGCAAGTTTCAAACTTGCGCGCGCAAATTTCAAAGTTGCGCAAGTAGCAAGTTTGCGCTCGACAGTACTAGTAGTAACGATTCCACGAGGAAAGCCCGGTTCATACTTCACGCGAAAGCTTGTGCGAAGCGAAATTCATGTCGTCAACAATGGTAGACGCGCTTCGAATGTATTGTTGACATCACGAATTTCGCTTCGCTTTCGCTTTCGCGTGAAGGAAGTATGAACCGGGCTGAACAGCGGGCGCGCGAAGGCTATTAGTCAGACCCTATTTATATCTAACAGTACGTCTAGATTCCAGACTAGCTGCTACAACTCCCCAGTTCATTAGGAATTTTACTGAAAGGTATGCGACAAGGTATGCAATAAAATTCACGACATTGCAAACAAAGTCGCATACGTGTGCGCACATATTCGCGAATTGTTTCACGACATCGCATACGTGTGCGCACATATTCGCGATTAATTTCACGACATCGCATACGTGTGCGCATATATTCGCGATAAATTTCGCGACATCGCATACGTGTGCGCACATATTCGCGATAAATTTTGCGACATCGCATACGTGTGCGCACACATTCGCGATAAAATTTCGCGACATCGCATACGTATGCGCACACGTTTGCGATATGCGATGTCCCTTCAGGGCCACCATAAAGCCACAATCTTAAGCAAATAAGCCGATCATGCAGCGATCACGCGCGCTGTGCATGGATCAGGCGACCGAAAGCAGCTGCCCACAAGCAGGTAAGTGTCAGTGTATAGCGCCGCCAGGCGACCATAAAGCGACGCTTGTTTAAAACAAGTAGTATCTGTGGTGTGATTCTACCCCCGAGTTGCCCCTCCCTTTTCTACTCCTCATGGAAAGCCAATCTATGCAACATTTACCTAAAACCAAACGTTTAAGGCAATGGTTGTTTTTAATAAACGAAATAAATGTTTCTCTTCACTAAGTCGAATTCATGAGTTCACCATCTAAAAAAACTCTGATTATCGAGGTCGTAGATACCTCTTGCTATTTCTAATGTGACTTATTTTTCCAATAGTATGTGCAACATTAATGACGATTCATTATTAGGTGGTCGCTTTGATATTGGAGTTGTTTTAAGTTGTACTTCGTTTGCTGTCACACTAAGCCCTTTGGTCCAATGGTTACTGTGTCCGACTCGCATGCCGTTGGTACGTGGGTTCGAACCCTCAAAGGGAATATGGTGATTGTGTTCTTTTGGCAACACACTTTACTACAATTGCCTCTCTCCACCAAGGAGTGTAAATGGTTACCTAGGGCGTTAGAGACCATTATGATCGAGCTGATCTCGAGCTGCTGCAAA